TGCACTTCAACCGTAATGTCAATGTCGCGTGCGACCGGGGGATACCGTCGTGTTTGTGTGCAAAGAGACGGTCGACTGTTTCGGGAATCTCGGGATCGAATCCACCGGAAATCCGTGGATACCGACGATAAGCAGCGCTTGCAGCTTGCAACGAGGATATTCGCGATTCATATCGGGGGCGTAATCGGTCGTCGTGTCTGACGTTGATTAATGCGACAGGGCGCGCGCGCGCGCGCACGCGCGCATCGCGATCGTACGGAATTGTTAAATAGCGCACATCGCGCGTCCCGCGTCGCTCCCGCAATAGCTCGCGCCTAATTGCGCGTGATTTCGCCGCGTCGCGCCGCAGGCGCGGACACGCGCGGTTACAGCCGGTCACGTAACACGCTCGAGAATTATGCGCGCACGTCCGGACGTACAGTCAACACGTTTGCCTTCGTCCCGCCGAGTATTACTCTGCGTCACTTTAAGTCTCAAGAGATCCTAAGGCTCGGTTGCATCCCGACGTTGATTAAGTCGCCGATCAGTTAATACTTAATGACTCAACTCTTCACTGTTAACGGAATTGAGGAAGTATAGCCGAGAAATGATATCTTCTAGTAGATATGAAGAAAATATTTAATGTGAGAACTGTAAGAGTTTATCATGATCGTTTTGCCTTAAAACACGTCATGAAAAAATTCCAAGCGATTTTTTTTTTTTAGAAGTGATGTTGTATTGATAAGTATTTTTAATGATCTCTTAAATTGTGATATATCAATGATTTTTCAGCAGGCAGTTTTTGTTTTGGGTATCTTTTAGTATTTTTAAGCTGTTAATTTTCGGTAGATAATTTTGAGCTTTTCATAATAAGAAATATGGATAATTTAAGAAATTAGAAGAAATATTGCCATACGTAAATATTAATTCATTAATTTATAAATTGTCAAGTATGATGAATAAAACGGCATAAGATGATTGCATACACCGTACGTACACCGATGAGATATATTTACCTTCGCGGCTGGGAATTTCCCGGTTGAAATTATGAGCGCACTCGTCGAGACGTATCGATCGGCCCGCTAATTTAGTTTCGAGAGCCGCGAGATGAAAATTTTAGCTCGAGCTGGTGTAACCGATTAAAACGCCGATTCGCATCGTGTCTTTCGTATGGTGGTGGGGACTCGGGTCTCGTGGATTCCATCTCGCGACCGATCGAACGGCGCTACGTGCTCGTTTGTTCGCGTTACGCCGATTAGAGCTCCGACGAGAACGACGGTTAATTAATTTCCTCTTCTGGAGATAACGTCGTGCGTATCAGACCGTCGCTGCAGAAGTCTCGGCCCGTTCGCTTAATTAAACGGCCGTCGAGGGTAAAAATAAGATTGTTTTGGCTACGGTGAGCGTTTTATCTCTCGCGCCTTGTGTTTTCCAACGTAGACGTCGTTGTCGGTTTTCCGTGACTGCGGCTTTTACTTTGGGTCTAATGAGCGTAAAATTAAGAAATGTTATCTTAATTCTTTGACGAAGTGGCATTCGACTTTTTCTTAACGGAAATACGACGATAAGTTTTCTTCTTATCGCTAAATTGAGAAAGTTCGACGACGTTCTCGAAATTATTTATTACATCATGGAAATTTACTTATACTGATGCACTATTTTCACACACTGCCATCCCGTTGAAAAGATTATTACGTAATGCTGTAATATAACATATTTGAAGCACGTATCTCAAGTTTCCAACATAAATCTTTGGCAAACGCGAAGTAATCTAAATTAATCTTAGGCTACGCTTTACAGACCTACTGGTTTACTGTACGCCGCAACGTAACTCAGAACGGCAACTAAATCGTACATCAGTCGCGTAACCGTAATCTGACGCCAAATCCGGAATAATCCGAGCGTCTCAGCGTTTAGTCAACATCTCTAAAGTCGGCACGTGTGACGAGAAAATTATGCGCGTCAGGGAAGGATCGTTTCGTCCACCCCTTTTGCGCGCAAGGGAGTTAATAATATCGGCGTGGCACTATAACCCTTGCGCGACATTAGCTTCGCGACGGAAGCGGATTACGTGAGCACTCCGACGGCGGCCAACGTCCGAGCTGCGTATCTTCTCTCGGGCAGACGGAGGGCGAGGCTGCGTTTAATTTGAGATTAATTCTCGAGATCGCGCGACGCGCTTTATAAAGAGAGCCTTTTCCTAGTGCGACAGAGGTTAACGAGGTAATTTAATGAGGCTTAACGGCGCCATTATGCGAGAGCAGCGAGTTAAGCGATTGTTCAGTCGGCGGCGACTGCCGGCATCGATAAATCGGAGATAAATGCCTTTAAATTCTCAGAAATTGCGCGAATTCTTCTACCTCTATATGAACGAACAACGTATAAAAACGATAAGTAATTAATTATAAATCTTGTACAATTAGAAGAAGTTTAAAGTTACATTTATATCTATGACTGCAATAACAACTGATATATCCTAAATACGAAATTAATACGAAATTAATACGAAATTAAATGATTAAATACAAAACTTAAATTATTTCTTTTCTATTTTATTAATATAAGAAGTTGATGAGTAATAAATTATAAATATTAAAAAAAAACATGCATTCTTTATAGTTTCATAGAATATTTATATTTTTTGTAGCTATAATGTTTAATTTTTTGTTATTTTTTTAAATGGAAGGATGTGGCATAAATAGAAACAAAAAATCATCTATAACATATATGATCATATATATATATTTTCTATTTTTATAAAAGTAAACATAATATATCTCTTGAAAATTAGTTAATACATAGCAGGGATCCTGGATAATTTGGGTGTCAGGGCCCCCTCCGAAGCCATAAAGGCACGGCTGAACGGCCTGATTCTCGGCGCGGGATCACGTGCAACGGGGACATAAACGACCCGGGGGCCGGTCTCGCACCGTTGCCCCATATTATTACATTAATTTTCCTCATTCTCCGCAAACACACTCGGCAGATCGGCATTAAGATATCCCCGTGGCCGAGCATATCCGCGCTCGGGACGTGTGCTCTGCCCTGGCCTGTGTTGCATGCGGCCATTAGTACCGGCCTAGGTTATAGATACGCGCGCAAATCGCCGAGCTTTTACGGCCTCACGCCCGCACGACTATAGATAGTGCGATAAACGCACTATTTCCGCGTTTTTTTTCCTATTTTATTTTCGCCTGCTCTCTGCGGATTTTCTCTGTGCGTATTAAAGTGCGTTTCAGTGCGGAGTATGCGCGATGAATATTTCTTCGTACGGGGGAAACGTAAACGTTCATATTCATGACATTTCCGCCTTGGGCATGTTCAAATTTCAGTTTGCGCCCATAGTTTCGCGGATGAAGGTCTATTCTCCTGTCAAATCGCATTATACCGACTTTTCTACACGCTGTCTCCGATGATAGGTCTTTAGCCTAGGATGTTTCGAGCTGTTTTAAACAGATTCGCAATAATGTCAGAATCTCATGGTGAAAAATTTGAATACTAACTTCTAATCGTGAAATATTTTCGTGACATACAATATTGCTCTTATCACGCAAGGTGTATATATATATATATATATATATATATATATTTACATATTGCGACATATATATATGCGCAAACTTTAATCGCGCAAGAATTCGAGATAAAATTCTCTCATGTGGGCGAACGTACGTTCGTCGTTGCGCTTGCTCGATATGGTCGGAGTTATATGTACCGGGTGTTCCGTTTAATTGACTCCGAACCTCACGTCACGCGGCTGAAAACGCGATATTTGTGGAATTCGGGCAATGGTCTGGCGTGGGCCTTTATCGATCTGCCCTCGCTGGCTCGTAACGCGCCGATTTGCGCGCCCGGGAAAAAGCGAGAAACGTTCTCCTTCTCTTTCTCTCTCCCGTGTCCCTCCCTCGCGAAAGCCAAGGGAAAAGGGGGACCATCCCCGCGAAATTCGCAAGAGGGTCGTTTGATTTATGACGGAAGTTCCTCGTCGCCGCTCCCCTCCGCTGAATTTCGTGAAGCTGCTGCTCGCCCTTTTCTCGAATCCCCTCTCTCTCGCTCGCATATTCTCGCACTTTCCTTTTTCTTCGCGCATCGCCGAAAGCCCGTCCTCTTCTCTTTCTTCCCTCTGTCTTTTTTTTTTCACCCTTAACCCTTCGTTCGATCGCGCTCCTTCGGGGTGAGAAATTGCAGGCGGTCCCGCGTTTTGACACCGGCGGTCGACCGGCCTGATCGATTTCCTCCGACCGCGCCTTTCGACTTCGAAAATTGCCCCTCTCACGATCGAACACGCTAATAACGGCGATGTGTCCGCCGATGAAACACGAAGCGTCATAGTGCTAATCACGAGCACCGTACCGACCCGTTGCACCCTTCTGGAAAATACGGGGATGATTGAAGAGGGGAAATTAAATGTGATTTAAATTAATCTGAGTTGTGTGATGCGGTGTTCTAATTTTACGTTTGCAGTATTGTCCGTTATTCTTTTTAGATTTTACTGAATTACAGAAAGCGTTTTAATTTCCGCGAGGGGAATTATTGTCGAATAGCGAGACACTGGCATTTGTCAAATAAATTTACAAAAGAGAGAAATTTTTAATTGGTAATAAATGAACATTTAACTGTCTTTACTCTATTATCGACGACACTGTTCTTGACAATAGCTATTCTTTTATAATACTTTAATACTCAAAACTCTAATTTCGTTTAACAATGCAACTATTAAACTATAGAAATAAAATTTAAAAAATTTTAAATTGATCAAAGGATTAATTTTATTGTCGTCGAATGGATACTGATTTAACATTTCTCAAAGACTATATTCTATTTTGCTGAATCTAAACAATTATTTTTAAGCAAATTATATTCTAGTAATTTCTTAAATAATCCGTCTGCTGTATAACCAATATTTAATTGCGTATGTGAACTATTTTAGCGATAATTACATTGAGGATTATCGTACGCTTTAATTGAAATTGTTTTGAAGCTTTTTTAACTAACAAGAATATTGTTTTATTTTGTTTCAGGTATGTATTTCATCACATTCTACAAATGTCCGCAATTCGACTAACTGCACTTATTGGATTAAATCACAGGGAGGTAATTAATTTTTTCATTTTATATACCATGAGAATATCTTTGCGCTACAAATTTTTATTAAATATATTTCTGACAAAGATATCGGAATCTTTTCTTTATTTTAAAAGTAACGATACGCGCTCTTTAATTTATTGTGGTGATTGAACTCCAAGAGTTCGAATTATCACGTTAAAAAAAGGTTTTGACAAATGGTATTAATTTTGATGGCAATTTCTATGAAGAATTCAATTTTGTTTTCGATGAAAATGTAGAGCAGTTAATAGTTCTTGAGCTACGATAATTGAGGAAAAAGATGATTTTGCGTGAATTGACTCAAGTAAATGACAGAATTTATATCATGATTGATATGACATATAATTTAGAAATATTTTAAATACGTTAAAATTTTTTGTGCATTTTACTCCTTTAATCAACGCATCGGCTCTCGCGGTGCGAATCGAGCAAGCCATGTCCTCAATTTTCGCCTCTTCCGTCCGAGTTCGCGCCTCCCGCAGAAATTGGTTCACGTCGATCTGGAATAGGTCGTGGAGCCTCTGCGCATCGTGTGCTTCCTTATTGATTCGATCGGCGTTGCGTCCCTGTACGAAAATAAATTCGTGCTAAATCGTCGTCGTCGTTGTCGGTATCGAGCCGCGCCGTGGCATCGCTTATTTCCGTCGCAAAATCGATCGGCCGGTTACACTATTATCACGCGGACTTTTTTTCACGAGAATCGTAGAGCACGTGTCGTGCCGGGAGAGAAAAGAGAGAGAGAGAGACCGGGATGGAATCCGTTTCGACGAGAGAGAGAGAGAGAGAGAGAGAGCTAGACGTTCCATTACGGGCTAAATCGCAACGACGACTTCGACAGCTGTCACTTTACCGTTACGCGCGCGATGTCCTATTTCGGGTGTCGACCTGTAATTGACTACGAAAGATTTCCACGTATTTTCACACCATGTTCGAAGCTCCCTTCGTGAAAGGAAACTTCAGTGAGACGTGTAACTTTGAGGATTCTGGGTGAATTTGTGTGATTTATGCGCGATCGAAGAGTTCCTCCGAGGTGTGTCCCTTGAAAAAACCCCTGGGAAGGGTCGAGCGATATTGGTAGGAAGTATTTGAAGCGAGTATCGAATGGAAATGATATTTCTGTGAATGTATCGAACAGCATAGATGAAACTTTGCAATGTACTTACATAAATTATTCTGATTTTATATATATGAAATTTTTTATTAATATATTCTCTCTATTTTTTATTTTTATATGACTTAGCAATGTATTTTTCTTTACATTTTTGCGTTTAATGTGCGGATAGGATGAAGTATTGCAGTTAAACTTAAGCATTCTTAATTTTCAGCATTGAATGCTTCTGAATATCGCGCGTAATTCGAAAACGCGCGCAGCTGCTTTTTATTTTGCTTATAAAACATTAATTGCCTTCTATTACGCGAGAATTAAGCAGGCTCCCGAGCGAATTTTGGACGAGATGCGGTCGCCATTCGCCTCCCCTTTCGCAATCGGACGCCGGTTGTATTTTTGCAGGCTTGCTCACCCTTTCCCGTCCCTTCGGCAATATGCAGCGCGCCAGTTGCGGACCGTAATTCTCTTTATGGTCGAGAAATAATTGCACCTGTGTTTCCGCGAGCTTTATTCCCGCAACGCGTGTTACTCTTTTACGACTGTTTATATATCCGTGTCGATAGTCTTCTCTCATATATCGAGTGCTTTGATTAAAGTTGACCCAAACTCGAAGTGAGTACAATTGAGAGAAAACGTTGCACGAAAATATCTTGCTTTGAGAAGATCTTTCTATCATTTTTATTTGCAAATATAAGTATATGTTCTAAAAAATAAATATATATTCCTATCTACAGAATCTTGAATCTAATAGACTATTCCTTAGAGTATTCATCTTTCAAGGAATATATTTAGGGACGAATACAACCCTCATCTTTAATACAACATTAATATATATTATATAAGAAAGTAGATTTTGCTATCGTATTGTTTCCCTTTCTTTAAAACAAGTTCCGCATTAAAATTAATATAGGGGCAGGTTACTTCGAGGGCCATTAATCGCCACAGATGGTAAATGAAACTGTTGTAAATATCGACAGCGAGAGAGCACTCAACTTTTATTGAGGTTTAATTAACGTCCGAGGGGGGCTGCGGAGGGTTGGAAATGCGGACGAGTTTATCTCCGCGAATCTCTAAATTTCGGGACGAGTACTATCGACCCTTTTCCGCAGAGCGTCTCGGGATTCACGTGAGCCCCCAGACGCCCCTCGTTATTTTTATACTTATGCAGATCTCGAGATTTGTCGGAGGCCGCGATTTGCAATGCAAAGCCCCAACGTAGTCGAGGGATATTGTTCGCTTGCGAACTCGTATTTAATTAAGAAGTCCGACGAATTTATTAGTATCTCGTAAGGACGATTTCGAATTTACATTAAAGACTTGCTGAGATATTTAACACATTCTATTATTAATTCTATAATTAAATACACGGAAAGAACAATTTTGCTAAATCCAGATCTGAAAATAATTTTTGTTCAATAATCAAAATAATTTGGTGCAAAAGTCAAAATGATTGCTAGAATATCAAAACGTTTTATAGCAATGCTTATCAGTTTTAACATTCTAAAAAATTATTTTGATGATTCAATAAAAAATTATTTTCAGATCTATATTTAGCAAAATGTTTAGATCTTTCAACAAAATCGTTCTTTCCGTGTACCAATTCTTGTTATTGGCTAGTTATTTTTGTAATAAATAATTATCCAAAAACACTGTCTCTTTTGCAAAGAGCGATCGATACAAATGTGTATGCGTGTGTTTGTATGAGAATCAGTTTGGAAAATTACTAATCCTTAGCTAATTATCTATATATACATTAATTTAATTACCGTGTGATTGATAAAGGATACGAAAAAGTAAGTTAACTTAAAGAGTATAAGTCAGTCAAAAAGTAATATTAAAAAATCTAAATGTGATAAACTACGATGTTTCGTTAATTTTTCTTAAAAAGTATTTGAAATTTAAAAAGAAATAAATAACAAATTTAGGACACTGTACAATGTAATTAATTGTACATAACACGAATCGTAAAGCATGCTTATAAAAGATAAAAAGTTTTAAAATTCCGAGATACATCTGATACGGAATAGACATTAAGAGTGCATGCTCGTGTCATTTAATGTTACGTTTAATTAATGGCCTAAGGGCGAGGGGGATCATAGCGAGTGGCGTTTCGCGTGTACTTTTCTGGAAAATTAATTCGGTAAATGTGACCGGGGCCGCGCTTGTACTTCGTCTGTGAGCCGTCGCGAAAGAGGTGTATGTGTGCATATGTGATCACCTGGCAATATTTCATCTACATATAAAATGTATGTAATCTCAAATATCGTATGTGTTCTTTTTAATTAGAGATTATTAAGAATATCGAATTGGTTTTTTCCATGCAAAAATTTTATATTCAATTTTTTTTCCATTTTTGATTAGGATCTTATGAATTAAAATTTTACTGATGTCGTTTTTCTAGAATTAAAGGACTTTTATTATTTATCAACATTTTTTAATTTTGTACGATTTATTTGTATTTTATAATGATTTCTCACTCGAAAATTATTGCTGTTCCGACAATGAAACATGCGATCTTTTTCTCAAAAAAAAAAAAAAAAAAAAAGTACGCAAGATTAAGGATACTTTATGTACATGAGTTACCACTACGGTGATTATACATTGCATATTGCGCACGTGCACTTGCATTTTTGGTTCATGCGTCACGTTTCTCTTCCTCTCTCTGTTTCTGCAGAGATACCGAAAACCTGCATCACTTTTACCGTTTCTGCGTTTATGTATATTTTATATGAAAATGTGATAAAGGAGGTAAGAGACACATAGATAGCTTTCCATGATTTTCTACGAAATACGGCAAATAAATAACGATATTAACGCATTTCGAAAGAAAATTTAGTGATATGGTACAGAAGAGGGAGGTAATTTATGTACCCCATTTCGTGGAAAATATAACGGCTATATATTCAAAACGTTTCGATATATCAAGAGATTCTTTCGGTCTCCATATTTCATGCAAAAATTCGGAAACGTATATATGTATGTATCTCGCTTCCGCACACAAACAGCTAGTCGATTGAGCTATCCGTCAAAGAATTAAATGCAAGAAAGGATATCGTAAAATTGTATCTACTGCTGTCGCGAGCAATCCAATTTTTATCCTTTCTAATTTTAGAATTTCGGATAGACCTTTGAATATTACTACAATATAATTTATAGTAGTCGCGTTTAACGATTACGCGGCGGTATAAGAATTAAAATCGATTACTTTCGTGAGAGACAAAGTTGCCACGAAGTCCGGGAACCACCGTTGCGCCGTGATTGGAAACTCCCGGAGCAATTTTCGCTCGGGCTCGATGTTACGGCAATTAATACCGCTACCAGACTGGAAACTACGGCCACGCGAGACAACGCGAGACGTGCGCCCGACGTTTCGGGAGAGGGCCCATTAGTATGCGCCGGCCGTTTCGGTTCGGTAACCGCGCTGGTACGGGGTTTCAAATCCCGGGATTACGCGCGTGCGTTCGCTGCCTATATCCACGAGCACTATATACGATGCGTTCGATAAAATAGGCGTTCGATGCACGTGGCGGTATTCCCTGGCGAATCCTGAAATAATATTCGTTGAACGAAAATATCGCGGGAGCATGCCTTGGTATCTTAGCCCTTATCGATTAAAGAAGAAGGTGTCTTGAAGTTGCTTTAGAAATGCAAACAGATAATAATATCTTCCTCGGCCGAATTTGGTGATTTTTCTTTATTTATTTATAATAACATCTCGTGTTCCTTCGATTAAGTGAATTTTAATTTTACTGAAATCTGGAGCACATATAGTTTCTAAAATATTTTAAATGTCAAAATTTGAAAAAACTACAGAAAGATATGCAGGCGTTCGATAAAATGTTCAAAACGTCAATTAAAAAGAGGCGGTTTTAATTTTTCGCTGAATATCAAATATCTTTTTGTTTGCAAAATATATTTGTTAGAACACTTTACCGGAAATAGAAGGGTCAACAGGGCAATCGTCGCGAAACTCGTTTAAATCACGCACAAACTTTTTGGCAATGTCATTGACATATGCGACACGTTGCATGTGAAATTCGCATTTCACTTCGAATGCAGAGAACGTATTTGCGAATGCAGTTACTGGGATGTTTTAACGAGAATTACCCTGATAAAATTATTCGGACAGTTATTTGATTTATTTCAGGCTCGATTAGACATTTCTGCGAGGTGCGAATGCAACTAATTAATTTATGATAATGAATTAAATTGGCTCGGTAAATCGGTATTATCGTAAGCCTACGTAAATAACTTCAATTTTATTTATAAACTTTGCAGTCTTTCAGAATTTCAATCAAATTTTTAATTAAATAATTAATTTTAATTTTAATGTTTTTTTTTCTGAAAAAGTACTCTTTTTTTTATTTATAGGTATGTATAATGCATTCGTTTTTTTTAATGAGATTGGTTTAAAAGTATATGAAAAATTGGAAGGTTTAATTTCACGAAATATTTGTGTGTTTATTTCTTTATGTGGATAAAATCAGTGTGAAATCTCAGAATCCTTCGTTCCACGCGGCGCGAAATAATCCCGGTATAATTTAGCGCACCGGGACGACGACGGATGTGTCGCGCGACTTAACTTAATTACCACGCGAGATGGTTAACGGTGGCAATTAAACGAAGCAATTAAAAGTTTTTCCACGCCCGAGTTGTCGAGGCTGTGGTTGTGAACCCTTTCCCCCGTCTTCCTGACAGGCCGCGGAGTGCACTTTCGACCAATATATTTTATTCGATATGCAACCGCGCCTGCAGTTTTAACATCGTTTCATCCGCTGAAAGCGTCGTTCAGATTTTCCGATCGTTTCGATTGTCCGTTATCGTTGATTCGTCGTCATGAAACAATGGTGGTGTTTCCGTCATTAAGTTAAATAGACGGTAACTTATGTGGGCGTAAGCTTTTTAGGCTATTAAATTTTATGATTTTCGCTGAGGCTAAAAAAGTTAGTTTCCTCAAAATACATTATCTTTTACTTTATTTAAAAAAATGTATTTTTATAATTGTCTTTTAATATATCTCAATTAGTTAAAAAAAAAAACCTTAATTTATTTTCCCTTTTTTATTATACGAAGCACATTAAAGTATATCCAAAAATTTTGTATAAAAAAGAGATTAAGTAATTAATAAATAGTAATATGTATATAAGAAAGCTTAAAATTGTAAAATTAGATATAAAAAAATGGATGAATAATAAAAAGGAAATAAATAATGTAAACGATGAAATTAAGGAAACTTATGAAATGTTTTTTATATTTAACGTAAATGAGAGATAAGTTAAATAAGATAAAATCGAGATGTTTTTATACTTTCAAGATATTACGCCTTACTTTCGAGATCTCGCAGGAATTTTTCGCACACTTTCCGCAGTACATTGCACCACCATCCCCCCCGCGAGCGTCTCTAAACTCTTGCTAAAGGCGTGGGTTTAAAAATGCATTCGTCGTCGTTGGCGGCGAGGGTACAGTTCCATCTGCCTACGTTAGCAACATCCCGCGATATCTAGGTCAAGCGAGACATTTTTCCCAACGTTTATGCCGATCTTCCACACCTTGAAATTCCACAGCTTGGATAACTTTAATAACTACTTAACATTAAGTATTCCGCTTTTATAAGTATGCCCCGATTAAAATTCTGTTTGTATAAAACGGCTGGGAAAAATTAACTCCTCTTAAGGGAAAGAAAGTTGAAGATATATCAAGACCCCCTATAGATTTAAATATTAATCGCATCTCTTAATCTAAATTTTTCGGAAGGAAATTGGAGGAAAAGTCAAGTTACATTCGTCGAAAAATACGCCGTCGGTTTTAGAGATAAATTTTACGAGATAATAGGAAAGAGAAAAACATCGTGAGTATTATTGCATTATTCGTTATATTTTTGTTTTTTCTACAATGATTTACATGATTTAATATACAGCAAATATGGAAGAGATAAGCTTGAAGAATAATTAGCAACGTTTCGTCAATTTTTTTTTGTTAATATTTTATATGAGGATAGATATTATTATAATAGATAAGTAGAATCACGCTGCGAATATTCTTCTCGTGAAAATTTAGATTTATACAGAAACATTTAGGCGAAATAGGAGAATACACTGCATTTGAATATAATCGAGGTATATTATATAGTATATAAATGCATTGTATGCACAAAGAGACATTTTCGACAACGCTTTATCAATGATCTTTTTTCACATGTTACACAATGAAGTGATATAACAATACATTATATATCACGTTGTGTGAATGGCTCTCTTTGTACAAATCCAAATGGTGGACGGTCCGTTTCATTCATTTTCATGTAAATACGTACGACTATTTAAATAAGAGATGTCGTATATGTGCCTGTGTGTGTGTGTGTGCATATAGGTGATAGTGTAATAAATGCTCCTCAAATAGACTGTATAAACATACGAGTATTTTCCTTTAGAGAGTGAATAACATAGTCCACAGATACAACTGCAAGAGGTATTACCGGTAACGAAAGTGAAGGTACCTCATTCGAATAAGGCCTGGTTCTTAATATGGGCCGCTTCCTGTTTATTTGCGATCCTCTTAGAATCTCCACCGTGCATACAAATGACTATTTATATCGTGCCCATATCTTCTTCCCGTGTCTATATGACTCGAATAATTTTGCTAAAAACCGGCATAACTCGAGTAAAGTATCTCACTAAAAAAAAATCTTTTTTGAGAATCAAATTCAAGAAAATAATAAATAATCCATTGTACTTGTGAACGAACGATCTTCTTGACGAAAGTAATTCGTTTGACGTAGAGGACATTTTGCTTTGAGTGACTTGTTCTGTCGATAAACCATCTTACGTGATTCGCGTTGCGAATGTTCTCCTCGTGCGGCCGGCTCGAGTAGTCGGCTTGATTGTCGTCGTCGAAATCAGAGTTGAGGCTGGTCCGGTTAGATTGGCGTGTGTTTCCCTCGGGCTTGTGTGGTCGTGCGTATCTAGGCCAAGTAATACGGCGCGCTGTAGGCGCTGTAGGCGGCGGCGTAATAGGGGTAGCCCGAATAGGCCGTGTACGCGTAGGGGTAGCTGTATGCGGAGTACGCCACGGCCGGCGCGGTGTATGCACTGTAAGCGAGCGGCGCCGTGTAAGCCGCGTTCAGCAGCAATCCCCGCTTGTTCCTAGCCGCTTCCGGCGAGGTGGATTCGGCCCGCGCCGGTTCGATGGACTCCACCCCGGTGGGTTTCGCCTCCGTGAGGGCCGCGACGGCCACCAGGGCGAGCAGGGCGATAGCCTGTGGACGTCAAAGAGAAGTATAAAGGCGTGTCACTGCATTAAAAAGCTTTCAATGCATTCTTTGGAAGAAGAGAATATACGAAATTGAAAGAGATTTAGTAGTTGTTAAAGTTCAATTTTTTTTTTAATTGACACGGAAAGAACGATTTTGTTGAAAGGTCTAAAAATATTGCTGAATACAGATCTGAAACTAATTTTTGTTCAATATTTGTTGGAAAGTTAAAAATGATAGGCATTGCTATAAAACGTTTTGATATTCTAGCAATCATTTTGACTTTCCAACAAAATTATTTTCTGATCTGGATCCAGCAAAATTGTTCTTTCCGTGCAGTTAAAGATACTATGAGATAACAAAATTATCTTATTCTGTTCTTATTATTGATAGTGAGGAGTACACGATATTTGATTGTGGCGGCTTTTTCCTTAATCTTGACTTGATATTTCTTTTACAACTGAACGAATAATATCATAAAATGTTACCTTTCAAAAGTCAATTAAGAATTTCGACAAGCTATTTTGGTGTTCTTGTTAAACAGCTGTCACGTTAATTCACAATTAATACGATATTACGAAAAGAAATGCAGTTATTGTACTCACGAAGTACTTCATGTCTGTTGGTTGTTGAAGATCGGGAATGTCTCGATCGAGAGAGCTCGAAGATCGAAGATCGATTGATGCTCATGCTCTCGGGGTGGCGCACTTTTATACGCGCTCAGGCGTACGTGCACCGACTCGAGATCATCGTTTTCGACTGGCGTAATCGTGCATAGCAATTATTGTTCTGGTGACATTGTACGTCGGATGGAGGGAGACGGAGAGCAACCATCGGGAATGTAGATGCGAGCGTCGAAGTTGAGCAACCCGTCCTTGGCCGCCGTCCAAACGGAGACGTAAGAATTTTTCGATGCTTCGCCACCTCCAGCCGCGTTAGTCGCGTTTAGGAATTCCTGTGTTACCTCTGCACTTACCTCAAGCCTGAATAACAGCGAATCGTTGATATTTTACAACCAAAATATAAATAATATATCTGGAGACAAATAAGGTTATTCAAAGCTAAACTCAATTCCATGAAATGTAAAGTAGAGATAATTTATAAAATTATAAACTTATTGTATGCTAGAATTGAGAAATTTGCAAAAAGTGAAATTGATCGATTTAAGTTTTGAGATACCCGAATACTCAACAATTGAAATGTCATAGGCTAATGAGAATCAACGCGGTAATTGTTGCGTAGTGATTATAATATGAATGTATGTTAATTAATTTATTATTATAATCACTACGCAACAATTACCGCGCCGATTCCCATTAGCCTACGACATTTCAAGGTTGATTATTTCTGGGAATCCCTTAATCTATATTTCTAATTTATACTTGAATACGATATTGCGATTTATCTAAACTTTAGAAATTTATTTTTGTGTCCGTCTTTAATTGAAGATATTTTCGATTCTAAACAATAAACACGTTCAGTCGCTAAATGGTCGTTAATATTGAAGCAAGGAAATGCGAAATTATAATTGATGACGATTGCGAATTCCGCGACATCGGTATTTGTCGTCGATATAAAACTGTCGATATATTTGTTGATTTATATTCCGTGCGATCGTCGCAGCTGTCACGGCAATTTTCATGATACGGCTACGTTTTAGCTATTCTAGCCTTGTACCCGATTGGACCCCGTTCGCGGCCACGGAGCCGAAATGGTCCCCGCGCCATTGAGCAGACCGAGTGCAGTCTCCCGCAGGGCCGAGCGTCGCTAATGGCCTGAAAATCGTGAGTCCAATAGAATCCAATTTGCCAGTCAGGATTTCTCGGCTCGGCTCGTACGGCGAGAGCTAATCGCGTTAACCCGCGATCGTTTATCGGAAGTGGAATTCTCTGCAACGTTCTGCAACTCGCGGAAACGATATCTCGAAGATAGATTCGTTCGAAGTGGATTAATCTAAAACGGATTTTTTAAGCGAAAGTTTAACGCGACGTTTAATTTATCAACTTGAAAATAAATCGCGCTCATCAGGTAAAGTTCATGCAAATTTTGTTATAACAACAGGTAATTCAAATTTAATTGCCAAGATATTTAGCGTCGAAGGTAAAGAAAAAATAATAGCGATCGCGGTAATCGCTTATTAAATATTCAGGAGAGGGGGAGGGCCATCTCCGAGTTTCTCAAAGAATTTGTCATTAAAATATATTTTGTTAGCGCGCGGTCGCGGATGTATTCCGTAGAATTCTTGACATGATTTACCGCCCGAAATTGTTTCGTACGACGACAATGTTAAAGCGAGAGACGAAAAGCACACGCGGATACATGCCTCTCCCGGCACAGTAGCTGCAGTAACTTGGCACAAGAGTAACGGTCCGTCGTTAATCATATTTTATTCAGGTCCACTTATCGCGCTAGAAACACGGTGTTACGCTCTTTTCAGTGCCGGAGGTCAATTTTTCATGAGGGTCTGTCGCTGCAGCCGGTTGCATTGTGTCTTGCGCGAAACAACGCTGTGGCGTCGCCAGCGCCGAAATTGTGCATCATTGTCGATGATCTCCCTTCGATGTTTTTAATATCTCGGCGCTGTGTTGTATCGTAGAAGTAATCATATATCATCAAAATATCATTATAAAATAACGTTTTCGAATCTATATAGAATGCGAATATTGTAGCGTTATTTCATATGAAAAATTTTTCATATGGAAGTCTATTTTTTGTTTGAACAATTATTATTACTAATCTTTTTTTTTACTAACAATAAGAAACAATATCTTTGTTTTTAAAGAGGCAAGGATTTTTGTTGAGATATCTTGCAAATTACATAATATCACATAGATGTCTGCCTTTGATGTTATACATTTTAATATTATGGAAATGTTGAATTATTTATATAGAACGCTTTGTTTTTTCATAACGCTGATTAATACGATTTCCGACAAAAAAAAATTAAATTAGATATATTCAAACGGCACTCAACTAAGATATGAAATAAAATGGCCGGATTACGATTATATCGCATGGTGCTCTTAGCACAAGCCATTACTTCTGTTATCTTGCTCATTTTGCGAAAGCTGACGCTCGCAGACGAAGAGTGGGCGAATAAAGAAGATTTCTGACGAAAATCCGCAGAAAAGTCACGGGACGAAGGAACGGCGCGAGAGGGTGGCGGAGGGTGCGGGCGTGTCGCATTATCCGTCCAAAGTTCCAGTTATTTTTCGCTCTCGAGTCGACGATGAAAGAAAGCTAAGAAGCAAAAGAGAGCGACTTGTTGGCTTGCGAAGGCAAGACTCGAGTAATATCGCAAAGCGGCGACGTCTCGGTCGGAAGGCGGTTTGTCAGGGTGGATGTCAGAGGGGTGTCGGTGAAGTGTGTTTCATATAAACGCTGATTGCCAGCCGCATTTTTATCCGCGTCGTCAGTATTAACATACTGAGTCGTTTCGTCGACCCGGACGGCTAAGGCGAATAATCTTCGTCGGAATATTCGCCTGCACCGACAACGACGAGATTATCGCGAGTTTATTTATATTTACTACTTAGAACTCTATTTTTCCTACTTTATTTTTCTACGGAATAAAAACAATACTGAGAATGAAATATTTGTGAATTGAAATTGAGTAGCGAATATATATTTAAGAGTTAATTAATTCTTCTAAAAGATTTCGCTATCGAAATGAAAGCTGATTTTAATTAAGTATTTTTACGAATAAAATAGAACGTCAGAGAAAATTCACCGAAATTTAAAGTGTCTTTTTATAAAAAGTGCATCATTACTTTTTATTTTTTTTTAAATTTTTATGGAAACGATAGATCTAAAAACTTTTATTTAAATATTATAAAATTAATAATAAATTAAAGCTATTATGTTAAAAAAAATTAAATAATATTATTAACATTTTTTTACATACAAATGTGCGATAAAGACGATAGTTATGAATATATATACGAAAGACGATCTAAGCTAGAGAGGAAAATCCGTCGATTGAGCCAGTTATCTCGCTTCTTTCCCACAGGATTTTCGTGATTGGCTATTCGACGGGCTCGCTTCGTAAACCGAAGATAAAAAGGACTCTAAAACGAGCGTAAACCTGCGCCATTTCGTCTGTCGGGACGAGCAAAGAATCTCTTTCGCGTTTTTTTTCCCCGATGCAAAGAGATTCTGCATCTGAAGTATCGATTTAAACCGCTTTGGATGCACTTTGAGAATGAAGAAATGATACCGTAATGTTGCAATTTATTTCTCGTTACGTTTAACACTGAATTAATAGTTTCAAGAAGAGAAACTCACCGTCGAATTATTCTTTTGAAATGCGAGAGACAAATAAGAAAATGTTTATTATAAAATCAATCATTTTGGAAAAAAAGCTTATGTTTAAAAAATGTCAAAATGTGACTTTATTTTGTTAGTACAGCAATGGAATGAAATGATAGAACGTATTTTAATGCCGGCAAATGTTTCTTTTATTTCTTGAAAGAGAATTTTAAATCTCTTCTTTCGGAGATGACAAATTAAGAATTTAATCTTTTAAATGCAGAAAAAAAATTATTTAGAGAGATGTTTATCTATTTTTCTTTATTAATTTTTCTTACTCGTTTGTTTGCATGATAAATTTCGTAAAACGTAAAAAAAAAACGTAAATTACTAGAAGCGACGCATTTAAATTTCCTCTTTTTTTTCTTCTCTTCCGGTTTCCCGTGATGAAAGAGCTCTTGTAATTGCCTAGATGACATAGACAACATCCGTCATTTTCCGACTCCATCGCTGCTCCGTTCTTTCTCTCCAGTCACTCGTCTCCGTTTGAAATTCCGGTAGCGACTCGGCCCCATAAGCAGCTTGGTGTCCCTGATGCCGTGTCGTCGCAACCCGTATACGTAATACCGCTACTATAGTCTGCTGTCGGCGATGTCATACTCGTTACAACATAGCGCGTGTAAACTTCCGATGCAGACGCGTATGTGTTTCACCGGACGAATATGTACACGAATGTTCCGGACAGGGAGTCGCGAAGATGTTAGAACGATATCAGAGTATTCTTAGACCACAATAGGAAGAAAGAAATTGCTAGAAATTAACAAATTTCTAATATTTTTAACTTTATTTTATTAAGAAATGTTCGTTAAAAATTAAAACATATAATATTAACAGCAATAATATAATATTAATAGTAAATGTAATGACAAAAAATTGATATTACTACTAATCTAATATATTAATTAATAATATTAATTAATAATTTTTGGAATAGAATCGTAATAAAGAGGTATGCAGTCTTTAGAAGATACGTTCTATGAACGTCTAATACGAAGTCACGTTATGCAGATAAGACAGAGGGAGAGTCAATAGAACAAGCGGCATTGTAATTCTTTTAAGATCCCTCGTTATTATCATGAATTTGCTGCTACATCATTCCATTTTCTTTTACGCATCGCACGTTTGTCTTATCTTCAGATCTCCTCGCTTCTTTCTGCCGCTTTATCCTTTCGCCTCGCATTTGTCTCTTTCATTCTCTTATTTTCTTTTTCTCTTTCAACTAGTAGCAGTCGACGCACGTCGATCCTCCACGAGTGGCTGTTTCCCTTTGTCGTCGTCGTTTTTGCAAAGTCGTTGTTGCGCTTCGTTTTTTGTTCTTTCAGACGAGTGGCAAATGCAAGAAGAGCTTGAAAGAGACCTATTCTGATACCTATTATCTTATACTGCGCGCGAGTCTACTTCAATTCTCTTTCTCATGTTCTTTTTCACACAGGAGAAAATATCGTGGCAGTTGTTTAGGAATAATGAAGTGTTACGCGTCTATAAAAAATTTTAATTTATTTTTTTTCAATAAACATTATATAATAGTTTTAAGTAAATAGATGTATTTTTCATTAATTAGAAAATGTGTAAATTTTGTTGAACGTATAATTTTTTTTCAAAGAAACAATATTTTACTATTACAATATTTTATAACATATGATATAGTTGTAAATATAATATTAATACGTATAATGTTATAATAAATACATAACATAAATATGTACTACGAAAAACATAATATACGATTTACTTTCATTTTCTTAAAAAGAATATTAGTGAGAGTTATGAGATAAATATTGACTGATGAGTAGTGTTGAAATGTTTCATTAAGACAATTTGTGAATTTGCATTGCGGATGTTTGATGGAAATTTTGCAATCGATAGATTACAAAATTTTG